AATCACCCTGTAGATGTTTTATGATGTTCTGCTGATAATTTATTCAACAGCAATGGTAGTATTTACCTACTTGTATACCTGAAATCGACCAGAGTTTACTGCATAGATAAGAACGTAAGAAAAGAATAAGCTGTGTTTGATAAAATATTTCTTCAGGGTGGGTGAGGGGAGGATGTGGGTGTGGGTGCGTGTAGCGTCTTCTGAAAGTTGTCTTTCACTTCCGCACCCACACCCACGCCCACACGCACACCCACACCCCACACACCCACACTCACAGACCCACACCTACACCCTCACCCACACCCTTCATTTATACCATTCTCTTCTGTCGATAGATTATCAACTAAATGATTAATAGTATTTCCTACTTTATTCTGCAAGTGTTAGCATATCGTCTTTATCTTCCGATACAATCTCATTAAATATTGTTTCCATATCAACTCATACGACACGTACAGGATTTACATTAATCGATAATGATACAGTTGTATGCTGAATAAATAAATTCATTAAACCAATTTTAATTTGTTTTATTTCAGGTATTTGTTGTAAAATTTCGTTTGTTTCTGAATAAAAACCACTTGTTTTGGTGATAATGTTAGAACTTTTTGATACTATGATCTATAGAAATTAAAAATCAACTTAAGGAATTTCGTCTAGAAAAAAAAGCTTCTTCATATGCACATCAAGACGATCATAATAGTCAAATATAACTGATTTGTAAAAAGAAAAGACAAAATTTTTTTTGATTGGAAGTCGTATGATTTTGTCCGAAAAAAGCGGATGTGGCTGTGTATTTCGTCAACCCACACCCACACCCACACCCCTTTCAAAACAGCAAAAATATATACTATTACATTTTGATCCTAGCCTTGAAAGTCACAAAGCGTTAACTTAATTCTGAAATTTAGATATTTACATGGAATTTGATGTGCATATTTCACACACATTTCTTTTTCAAAAAAAAAGATCTTTCGCGGAGAAGCGATATTATCACACGACATTTTCAGGTTTTGATTCTCGACATGCATGGTTCGAGTATACATATGAATCAGTTTAAATAGTAAGTGAATTTCTACTAGGATTAAAATATCTGTACAAAAGTAATGTTTAGTACCAAATTTCTTATGCCATTCTTTCATTGCCTTTTCTTTCCCATCAGATTAAATGTTTTAGATAGAGCTATACCATAGCTACAAAAATTGTGCCTAAATCATTGATAATGTTTAGTTTCATGATGAGAGGTAAAGTACATGGTAATAAAAAAAAACATAGAATGCTAATTCTATTACAACGGAAAAATAATTCTGTTCATTATCGATGTATAGAAATAAAATCAAAATGTACCAGTTAGACAAAGAAATACTTTATTCAACTAGCTAATCCCTTGGAAAAATAACATTTTAAACTATATCTCCTGTCTTAAAACATGAGTTACAGTCTCACTCAATATATATGCCGACTTTGTCTTTTTTTGTTTTCCTTTTCAACTAAGTGTTGCTCTGGCAGGCTAATGTTACCTTCAACCTGCATGCCTTCGTCATTGCAACATAGGTTTAATCAAAACTTATTGTTTACCTTTTAGTAAATTGTAATAAGCAACTTTTCTTGTGGATGCTTGGCGCATCACATTTACTCTGTCCTTACACCTAAAGTATAAGAAAGACAGAACGTAAAAACGAAATGTGTAAGACTGAAGAAATATGCTGCGCCAGAGATGTGCAAGAAAAGTTGTTTACTATAACTTACCAAGGAGTAAATGATCAGCTCTGATCAAATACATGTTGCAATGACGAAAATGAGCGGGTTGGTCGCAACACTAGTCTGCCAGAGCAACTCTTTCATAAAAAAGAAAATAAATATCTAAAATGATTCAAATGTGCTGTATGTTGTATCTATTCTGTGCATTCTAAGATTTAACATATTACTATGCAGCATATCAGCCTTCTTGCATTATTTTCGCGATAAATTCATCGTGGAATGTAAAATTATCGAAAATGTGTTTTTTTTATCATTTAGCATGATAATCCAACATTATGTAAGCTGTTGCTGAATGCTGATAAAATTGTTTTCTAGTGGAAAACTTCATTGCACAAACATAAAATATTATCATCGATATGTTGAAAAGGAAAATTTTTTTTCGAAATCGTCTAATAAGTACATAATTGAAAATTGACTAGTGTTGAATCTTCTACGGTAGTAAAGTGCCCGTGTTTAGTTTTTTTTTTTTGAGAGGCAACACAAACATAGAACAAATGAGACTTCTTTCGGTTAATTCTTTGAGAGAATACGTGACAGTATATCCAATATATAGGCATCTTGATACTGAAACAAACAATGCCAGTCAGTCAGAGAATCTTTCAGTTGTTTGACAAAAAAAAGAGCTCTCATGATCTTACAATAATCTATTATAAATGAGAAGGAAGAAGTAGAATAGTCAAAAAGAATAGAATTTTCCAGTTTATTTTACACTGACCAAGACAGTTCATCGATTTATGAAGCATGTTCTTTTCGAATAGTATCGAATAATTTTCCCATGATTCTCATTCAGTACAACAATAAGCATCATCATCATCGATATTGCTGAAAATAACTCTACTAGAAACAACAAATTCTATAGTTGTTAGTCTCAATAAAGTACATACGCTTTATATCAGATAAAGCAATAAACCCGGAAAATAATATATAATTAGATTATAGTCTGTAGAGTAAAAAGAGAAACTTTCTCTCAAAGGTGTTCATCAAAATTAATAACATAAACTCGCTTGTTTTGATATAGAAGTAAGTCTTAAAACGCACCAAAATTTTGTCTCGTTGAAAGAGCAAGACAAAAAACATGCTCAAACCTTTATATTTACTCTTGTGACAAGAACAAATCTTCACATGGAAGGAAATTCATTGGCGATACAGTCAAAATGTTTCATTTTAAGTTTTCTTTAATACTCTTCGCATATTTCATTAGAGATCGTTTTGTATCACTACTAAAAATTCATAGTGTGTTACTTGAAATACCAGATGATTCGAACTTGAATCTTATTAAACTTTCAATTGAAAAAGGGTGTGGATGTGATTGCTTACTTCTTCGACATCCACACCGTAACTTTTATGACACTAGTCAGTCAATCACCGCAAACAAAATTCTATTTTATTGTAGCTCTATTATTTTGTGAGAATAAGCAAGATACGGTTCGGCACACTAGAAAAAAAAGTTTGAATTTTCAGATATATACTTTAATCTTCTAGAAACTATACTGAAAGCTTTTCATCTGACAAAATGAAGTAAAAATCTATGTCTAGTGAGAGCGTTTTTTTTTACCATTTTCCTTCAAAGTAGGGATCGAAATTATTGTGGAGAAATGATTAAATTTTGCTTTTCTGGTCAGTTTAAATCCATTTAAACAATTCAGTTACAGTTTGCACCTCGAGGATATGAAATGCGTGTTTACCTTACGTACCTTAGTTGAAAGAAAATCGAAATAAGTGTTTGTTCACACTTTTTTGGCAGCATGGTCGGATAAAAAAAGCATAGTCGTTATTTTGATTGGATGCAATAGCATAGACAAAAAAAAAATCAAAGAACAGAAAAGAAAAAGTAACTCTATCGTCACTAATGTATGTTTCATCGACAAGTGGAAGAATAAAAGCAAAGAAAAACGAAATTTATGACTACAAACTATGTAA